GGGGGGACCGCACGTTCAGGCGCGCGTCACGCCATTACGCTATCAGCCGCCGAGGCGAGCGCGTCACGGGAGCTGCCGCGTTATTTTCTAAATTATTTCGCGTCGATTTTTAATACCGCATTTTGATTTCGCCACAATTAAGGCAATAATTAACACAATTTGAGACACGTACTTATCACGTGAGCAGGTGTTGTGGGTTTTCCTGCAGCGGGTAATTACCTCATTTTATTTACTTTTTTACTTGTTAGATAGAGAAACGTCGCGATCGAGTTCCTCAATGCCGATCAAATATTATCATCTATTTATTATTCGAATATTATTATTTCTTTATACGGCTGTCATTTAACTATTCTTATTACGTATTGGGAAGCAACTCGAGCGTGCCGTTGCGACGATTTCCTTACCTCGTTTTGTTGTCGTGTGTAATTAATTAATATTACCGGATATTATTATATGGTTGTCGATCAGATATTATTATCATCGCCTATTAATTAATCGGAAATTATTACTTATTTATTTGGCTCTCGTTTAATTATTTTTTATTGCACTTTGGGAAGGAACTTGAACGTGCTGTTACGACAATTTCTTTTCAGCGTCTTGCTACCGCGTATAACTATTTGATAATAATTTATTAAATTACTAATTGATACTAAATTAAATTAAATTTCTGTCACAGAGATCTAATAGAGAAGACGCAGCCACGCGGCTCTAGGGGATGCGATGCTTGGGGGATGCCGCGCCGGAGGATTCGACTTGGGCCTTTCTAAGGCGGTACGAAGGTGAGCTTCACGACGAGACGAACACTCGACTGAGGGGATACTGCGCCGGAGGACCCGGCTCGGGCCGAGCGGGGTTAGCTCGAAGGTGAGTTTCATTAATTAATATTTGTAATTAGAAATCCGACAAGATTGATAATTCTCTTGCTCGAAATCGAGGTAATTTTAATCGAATCAAAGATCGCATTAAATCGTAATTACACGCGAGGAAAATCTTTTCTGTAACATCACCACTTGAAAAATTTTGATTTGTACTGATTGAGATTTATTTGCAACGTCGAGAAAAAGGAAAGTGGAATATTCCAAGTGTAAATGCATTTCGAAAATTTCTAGCGTGAAAAATATCACGTTTATGTTTTTTTAATTCTTCAAACTTCTTTATTCAAATAGCCATTAATGCACCAATCTAATCGATGAAATGGTATTTTTCTGTTCCAGAAACGAAAGCAGAATGTGGCTACCCTGATCGGCGGTTTGGTGAGTCAAAACGAGAAACATATTGATAATAAAAAGACGAAACGTTTTTCAATGTAGTGCATGCTTATCGAATCAATGCGATTTATTTTGCTGTAGTTGTAGTATGTGTACGTGCCGTCCAATAAAAATCACACTGCTCGAAACAATTGGAAGATCACTTTTTCAAATAATAATACTAACGATAATGCATATTTTACATAAATTTGGCAAATAAATTTTCAAGTATTTTTCTCTCAATGTATATATATTTGAAATTGATTAACTTAGATTATTAATTGGTCGACGATTTTCGGCCGGAGGAAATTTTGATTAATCAAATCCCAAACTATCTGGTAGATATTTAAAGTATCAAGTATACGCTCTGAAAATTCAAAATTTTGTAAAATTCAGTTTTATTGAATGCGATCTTTCAAGTGTCTCGAGTAGTGCACCAATGCGCAAAGAGATTGCGCTAACATGCTAAGACATTGCGCCACAGAAATGTGCAATCACATCACCCGCGTTATAGATTTTCCGCCGGTCGTTAATTTTTTCAATTTTCTATCTCGCGTGAATTTGAGTCGCGATTGCATTTTATAAAATAGAGTTCGAGCTTCGTTATTAAGTAAAATTCGATATCGTGTGGCACCTGCGCGAAGCAATCAACGTGATTATATAAACTGCTCGCAAAATTAATTTCACGATTGTCGGAAAATTTTCAGAATTTAATTTTTCACTTAGAGTTAGAGTTTCCTAACGCGGGACACAATAGAGACAATGCTAGCGAGCGTTGATCCCTTGCGAAAAATGCGATGTACACATGTCAGACATGCTAGCAGTTGCTTGTTTACTTACGCGACGTGCGACAAGTTCCATCGAACAAAGACAGACGTCTCACGCGGTAACATTCTTTTTGCGTGAACTTTGAATATAATCTTTATCTTTATCGTCGTAATATTCATAGCTTTTGATTTTTTATTCACGCTCGCGTTCGCGATTATTAATTTGATAGTTTTGCGAATTTCACTGGATCGTATTTGCGGAAGAGTCGCGAGCGAATTTCGCATAAATATTGCAGAGTTGTTATCCGCAAAAGCACTGCGGAATTGTTTTCGCAAAAGTATTGCGGAGCTGTTATCCGCAAAAACATTGCGGAATTGTCTTCGCAAAAGTATTGCAGAGCTGTTATCCGCAAGAATATTGTGGAATTGTCTTCACAAAAGTATTGCGAAGTTGTTATCCGCAAGAACATTGCGGAATTGTCTTCGCAAAAGTATTGCGGAGCTGTTATCCGCAAAAATATTGCGGAGCTATATTACAGCCTACTACGCTGCACCATCGAAACGTTACATTAGGGATATTCCGTGTCGTACATGAGAATTTCGCACAGATTATTTCGGCCATGCGTCGAAAGTTTTCGTGAGATCGGCCTTCGATTTGCGTGTTTCCTTCGCTCGCGAATTCCGTTTTCTTCGTAAGCAATTCGCGTCGCGCGTGCATCAAAGCGATACACTACAACTCGATCGGATCGTTGCTGAATCATTGTACATACTCGTCGTTTATCCGAAAGGCCGACATTTCCTCGAAGACGCAGTTCGTGATATTTTATACGCAATTCGCAATTCGAAGTATATCCCCCAAGAGAGATAGGATTTTTCGTGAAATTTCCGTTAGATTACCGCGCTCGGGAGTGAATTACAGGCGACGTGGGACGCGACGATCATTGCAGTGTCAGATGCAGTGACAGGATGGCTGGTGGACCCTGGACACCGTGGGACGACGCGCAATGGTGAGCGCTCAATTTAGACGCTCATATAGTAGACACAAAGCGTCACTTTACGTAGATTGCATGCACATAGACCTAAATCGCATTGAGTCCGACGGGAAGTAAAGTAAGAATTGGAATTTGCAATTCGCTGGAGTTACGTAAGAATGATTCAACTAAAGAATTTAGCTTTGAGGTTTTTGCAATAGTTCAACGAGTCAAACATTTTTATTTCTTTAAAAGTACTGACTAATTCAATCCTTAGAAAAATGTGCAAAAAGACGCGACTGGTAAGAAATAAAAAGAACTTCTTAAATCATTTCAAGTATCTATAAGTCTTGAACTTTTCTTGTTTGATTTAAAAAGATATAAATAGAATAACCATTGATAAAAACTTATAATTTTATGAATTGGATCATTCTTGCATAACAATGACCAATTGAAATTTTGACTCGACAAGCTTCTTTCTCGTCGGATTGTATCTTGATAATACATTACCTTGATATACTATTTTGATAATACAACTGATATATTTCAACATGTCATATTTATATGCTTTGTATATGTTATATGTGCTTTTTATGCTCTATATATGTTTTATATATATATCCTTTGTATGCTCTATACGAGGGTGGTCTGAAAAGTTTCCGACCTCAACGTGAAGATAGCAGCACTTGTAAATAAAAGCTAGTGAATTTCGTTGTTCATCT